GGCCATCCTGCGCCGGTGCACAGGGCATGACCCTGATGAGCATGTGTCCCCCTCCCGCCGCCCCCTCACCCTGGGTGACACGTTCGCGTCACCTGCATGGTTTCTATGAGGCAGACATGCTGGGGGTGTCCTGGTTCCATGGAGACTCAAGTGCAGCTGAAATGGCTGTTTTTCAGTTGCCGTTTCTTTGTTCCTATTCTAACGAAGGGCACAGGCCTGGCTTCTCTAAATGCCGAACCCGCCTGCGTGGACGGGGTCACAGTGCCGCGAAGCGATTAGCGTGGCTTTGTAATCCTGGCCGGGACCCGGGGAGACGGGCAGCCTCTGGCACAGCCCCGGCCGGGCGTCCTTGCCAGCGAATCGCTGTTAGAAAGTGGCCCTTCGCACCCGGTGCCTGAGAGGCCAGAGCGAGGAGGTGCGGTGCGTGTCATGGTTTCGTGCACGAGCACATGATGCGTTATCAGAGCACGTGATGCGCTATCAGAGCACGTCTGCTCGCTGTGTGTTGGGTGCAGCTCAGGATATTTGTCCCCACGTATCTGCTGAGAGAGAGACATTGAATCACACGCTTTGCTTAAGTTGGCAGGTAACCAGTTTTTAAAAATGTCCCGAGTCTGTTAGATTTTGAATCTCCAAATTCAGTGACTTCGTTAGCAGCGACCAGGAGGGATTGTAACCGGCCCTTTGAACGATGGGTCTTTACTTAGGATTCTCTTGTCCAACCTGCCTAAGTCCTGACTGTTTTGTTTTTAATTTTAGCTCAAATCCAAGTCCTGGGAGCCACAGGAGAGCACAGCCCTCGCTCCCAGCCTGGATGGGCTGCTCGCTATGTTCTTACAGCCCCGGGGTCCAAACAGCCCAAACCACAAGTCTCATTACTGTTTGCCTGTGATTCCCACCCGTGTGCCTCTGGGAAGATCTCATGTTCTTATGCAAAAGCTAAAAATATGCCCGCCAGGGCCGGGGAAGGGCGCCCGAGCGAACGAATGAGACGGGGAAGCCTTCGCTTGGTTTCCTGATGTTATTTACGTCTTCGTTTTAAAACAGTGGTTCTCCACCTTCCTAATGCCGCGACCCTTTAATACAGTTCCTCATGTTGTGCTGATCCCGAATTTCATTGTTACACATTGAACATAATTAAAGCATCGTGATTAATCACAAAAACAATATGTAATTGTATATGTGTTTTCCGATGGTCTTAGGTGACCCCTGTGAAAGGGTCGTTCGACCCCCAAAGGGGTCGCGACCCACAGGTTGAGAACCACTGTTTTAAAAAGAAGAATAAAGAGCAGATAGGCTGCTCTGTACTGACCCAGAGCAGAGCGTGGTGTTTTATGGTAGCGGAGAGGCACGGGGAGCTGGCGTCCAGTCCCGCTCGTGTACCATGTGCCGAGTCTGTCTTCATGGTCCTGACCTCAGTCTGCATGTCTGTAAAATGGGCTTGTTGGACCAGATCCGTTCTGGGCTCCTCCCAGCCCTGAACGGAGACTCAGCTCTGCCCCGGTTAGAGCCTGGCTAGAGCTACAGGGTCTTTCTTCATCTCAGCCCACAGTCAGGGGGCCTTTCCTCTGTGGTCTGGGCTGAAGGACTTGAGTGGCCGGGGTCATTGGAGCTGGGGCTCTAGACACATTGAAAGGTGCTGCCTCTGCCCTCGGCCCCTGCTCTGCCCTGTCAGAGAGCAGCCGGGGGCTCTGAGTGCTGACCTGTCGGTCTGGCTCCAGATCCCGTCTGAGAGAGGAGGGGTTGTCTGTCCTGTCTCCCTGATCTGTCCCCAAGGCCAAGTGCAGTACTGGGCATCTATTACACACCAGCTGGATGGTTTCTGGATGGATGGGTGAAGGATGGATGGATGATGGGTGGGGTTGGGTGGGTGGGGATGG